AGCCAGTCCTTAATTCTTCATATTTTATTGCAAAGAATCATGCCAAACCAACATCGATGATTTCCCTTTCTGAAATCAGTTGGACCACTGTCCCCAGTAACTGGCTGTATACGGTGACATAGTTGAAGTGCTGTCACCCAGCTGAAATATAGTATTGACCTGCTTCTCAAAAAAAAACCAAAAAACCCAAAAAAACACAACCTCTTTTGAAAGAAATTGTCCACGGTATTTCTCTGCTTTGCTCCAAGCATTGATTTATTCAGTTGGACGCTTGCAGGCATCCCACTGTATTACCTGAAAATTTTTCATCCAGTCAAAGTTGACTAACTCTTTGAGTCACATTTTTAGCAGTAGGAGAGAATAAGGAATGGCATACTGGATCAAATTCAATTACAGTGGCCACGTTCACACAAGTGTGGACGTCTGTTTCCCTGGGGACAAGAAGAAGTGGCGCAACTTGTGGCACTGCTGCTTGTCTCTGGGGAGTGTCTGTGCCCCACGCCCTCTGGCACATGGCAGGTTACCCCGGGTGGGGTAGTGGAAGCTGGGGCCACCAACAGTACTGGCCCCAACAGCCTTACCAGGAGGCCTGGGAAGCTGCACCCACAGTGCTCCTGCAGCTGGGAGCCTGGCTGGTAGCCAGAGTGTGGCTCCGGCCAGCTAGATTCCAGTTTTGGGCACACCGCCACGTGCACCTCCCCGCTTTTTTCTGCACAGGTTTTTTGACCCTGGGGTCAACCCTCTCCCCCGCTGCAAGGTAGCAGCACAGGGAACGCCTGAAATGGGCAGTGTGTCACCACAGACTGGTCTGGAGCACCACATACCGCATGACCACGCTCGTCTGGATGCAGTCAGTCTGACTAATCCAGTAGCCTGACCTAACACCATGAGTTTCAGATGAGATCTGGTAGCTTTAAAGTAAAAACAAATATGAGTAAACTTATTGCATTGACACTGGCAAACACGAGAGATTGATGCTGTTTGATATAGCTTCCTATCTTCCAAATGTTGTTTAAAGTAGCTGGCAAGAGTGAACCAGCTCTAGTAAGCTAGCAAAACCCCCAGCACTTGCTAGGAACTCTACTCATAATTTACTAGAAAAACCACTGGGACCTTTCTGAATACGGCTTTTTTTGGTTCTATTTTCCTTGTTTTTCAGCTCTTCCTGTCTTTCAGTTCCTCTTATTTTCTCTCTCATATAAAATTAATTTTATGTAATGATTGTGTTTTGATTACCATGCATTTTCATAGCGCTTCCAGCTGAATTGTTTAATTTGGTATTCCTGTTGGATCGGAAAAGCTAAGTGAGTGCTGGTAAAAGTTAAATTTAAACACTGGGATTTGTAAATTATCCCTGATCTTGATCTAGCATCTGTCCTTAACTCGTGGCCTCCAGGTGGGTTTAGTTAACACCCTAGCACCTCTCCCCTTCCTCTACAGAATGGCTTTGTTCTGGGCTACCCAAAGCAGTGCTTTTTATTAGCATATTGGAATGTGACTTTTTTTTACCCTTAATATCCAGAGATTTGTGTCTACGAATACTAATTCAGAGTCCACCTGGAGCTACACGTTTTTGAAGATGTAAGAAGTGAAAGATTTGTTTTTCTTTGTCTAAGTTTTTGGATGAACACATTTTTATGAACTATACTAAATAGCTTTCTACACTAGGGAGCCCTTTCAACAAAGTTATGGTTTACACCAATTTGGAAGTCTTTAGGATGTTTTAAGCAGGCACAACCTTTTCTTCTGTTCTGCAGTTTTCTTGGCCCTTGCAAGGTCAGAAACAGCAGTTGTGCTGACTGTTTTCAATTTGAGTCATTCTGTGTTCAAATTATATTGCAGTAGTGCCAAAGGACCCCATTGTGCTAGGCATTGTAAAAACACATGACAGATTGTCAGCTCATCGAGGCAGGACTAGAAGTAAAAGCTTTTGCAGTTAGAGACTAAGATCATATGATCTTTTAGTTGTGCTTTGCAGATGGCTCCGTGTATAAACCATGCTGGGAACCCACTTTGGGTATTGCTGGTTGATAGGTCAACACAAAAATGATCCCAGAATCACAGTGGGTAACGCAGTAGGAAGTATAACCCAACACATTCGTGGGAAAAATCATTCTTCCTCCACCATCAGGTATGTAAAGCAGAAGTTAAATCTTTAGAGAAAAACAATAATAAATAAATAATCTTGATAGATCATGTATCATCTGAGCTATACAGTTCAGGGTTACAGAAATATTTCTACATCAGTATTTCATGCTTTCAGTGAATTCTTCGCCGAAGGCGCACTGGGTTTTGTCTTCTCATAGCTGCAGCTACAGGGGAGGATGCTTCAGAACATCCCTTCTGTACTGGAACCAAGGTAGAAAGCCAGGGAATACCTTTTTCTTACAATTAAGGGACAGTGTTTGTAAAACAGTGACAAACTTTTGCTCTTGTTTGGTTGTTCAAGTCCTGCCACCCAGTAAATATCCCAGTAAGTTTTCATGTAAAAGTGAAATGTTTCCTCTGCCTCAAGAATGGAGGAAAGGCCTTTTCAGATAGTCTGTACTGGATGGTTGGTGATTTTCTGGTGCACTACTGATAAAATAAATGGTTTCCATAAATATTGTTGATTTCTGGTTGCTGTGTAAAACTTCTATGTTATTGTAATAATTTATTTTTAAAAAACACTCAGGTCAGGAGAAGGCACTGAGTTTTGTGCACTTGAACTTGGTTTCTAAAATGCAGGGTTGTTTAAATGCTACTTCCAACCTATTCATTTAAAATACTGTAAGTGTTAAATGATGTAAGGTTATTTGGAGGGAACTTGTTTTCAAGGATCTGGGTGTATGGTGGGAGGTGAAGGGAAAACCTGCCTGTCCACTTCCCTTTCCTCTAGAATATAAAAAGATTCTCTCTCAAAATCTGCAGAGCTCTCTCCTAACCTCTCCAGTCCCATTGTCAAGCAACCTTCTGATCAGCTTCATCAGGTGATGGGAGCACCCAGCACGTGATCTTTCCAGTTTCCTCTCCCGGGACCTTTTCTTTTCTACAAGAACTTTGTCCTTCCACAGCCCTTTCTTACACACGTAGAAGCCTTGGCTTTTGTCTTGGCCACCAGCCCTCACTGTACCGCTGGTGGATGTCACTCCTGATTTTTCTGCTGAATCTTAGCACTTTGTTCTTCCCTCTGCTTTGCACCCAAACTTTCTCTCTTTTGTTTCTCTTTCTCCAGAGTGACTTGCACAGAAGCCTAACTTTTGCCATTTCCTTTGAATCTCTAGCGTCCACCATTAATACAGCATCTGGTACTGGTTTGGCAAAACAGGCAAATCATCTTGGGGGAAACCTGTAGCTTTCCCCAGCAGTTGCCATTCAGCTGTGTACATCAAGATGGTTCCTCTTGGGGCCGTTTGCTCAGCTGTCTGCAGCAGCCTCTTGGAGCAGGATTACCTAGAATAGCCGGGGAGATCCCAAAGCTGTTTGCAGAAGGCGCACAAAAAATACCGGGTTTCTTAAAGTGCTGAAGACCTTCTGGTATTCTCAGCTGGTCCTCCAGGTAGAACACCCCGAAACGACGTCACTGAAGGTTTCTGCCCATCCTTAAGGTTTCTTAAACAGAACACCAGACTGTTTCCCCACACACCACGAAATAGGAAAGGCCAAGGCTGATTTCCTGGGCTTTCTGCCTGATGCTAGAGGATGAAAAAATAGTAGGATTTATGATGAGATTTATTATTATTACTATTTTTATTTTTATTCTTTTTGTTTGTTTATTTGTTTATTTTTATTTTTTCCCCATCATCATTATGACTTTTCCAGTCCTAAAAGTAGTGATCAGAAAGGAATAGTTCTCATACACAGTAATTAATTGCCTGTTAACTGTCACCAGGAAGCCAATGGTAATCTTAGTCACAAAAAAGAGTTGACTTGGGAAAGAGAGTGGAAGCAGTGATTCTTTTGTCAGACACTGAAAGTAGAATTTAAAAAATGTAGACACCATAGTAGCTACTGGATATTTGCATTGGTCTTTGAAGATAAATTTGTTTGTAGAGTTCTTGTTTTTCCATGTTTAGAGATGCACAGCAGAATTACAGCCATCTAAATAATTATAATTATGAGAATGCACAACATTTTTTCTTTGAAGTGCCACCTTAAAATTTGAATTTCCAGACTCCCTAATCTCTTGTCTTTTGATCACTACAGTGCTCTACTAAGCTTTTCCCATGAGGTACTGTTCAGCTATTCACAGTTTCTAGTCTTGATTAGTAAAGCCCTTTGCTGGGAATTCATAGCCAGCTCCAGTCACTTGATCTGGTTCATTACTATTACAGGAGGACCTTGCTGCATTTGGTGTCTTACCTGAATGTTATAAAGCTGAATCATATGCATTGAATGTGTTCTGCAGCAACCTGCACTGCTTCCCTCACTCTTCTCAGATTTTATCCCCCCAACACTCGACTCCCCCCACAGATTGCATCCTCATTTTATATGGTACCTCCTAAGGAGGCAAGAAATTAAACCTTCTTTTTTCCACTTCATACCCTGAACTAGTTTGTTTTTTTGGTGATGTAATCACTGCTGCAAGTACCCTACTCTCTACAAGGGTGGTGCACGTGAAGCTTTCTAATGAATAAAATAAAAATAAGTCCCAAATTCTGTTCTCTATAGAATGAATTTCCTGCATAGTCTTAAAGACTGAAAAAAGTAATATCTGTTCAAGTCACATGGCTAACATCTACAAGGTATACATGGATTAATGTGCTTGGGAAAGGAGGAAAAGAGTTGTGCATTCTGAAATTGCTTAAAACAGCTACAGAGGCAATAAATGCTGCTTATCGATTTGCTAGAGGACTATGGTACAGGTGCGTTTATGAATGTAAGTTAGGGATCTGGGTTTGTAGGACAAGTTGTGAATGTCAGTCACAAAGGGCCAGAGGGCTAGGGTTCATTCCCTTTTAAGTAGGTAGGATGCACGTGTGTTAAAAGGTTGGTGTGAACTTTTCGCTTCTTTCTTCTAGGAACTGGGGACATTGTTGCTGTGATGATTACAGAGTCAAAGGTGAAGGAGATCCTGAATTACTTGGAGAAGAACATTTCTGTCTTAATGGCAATAGCAGTCGGCGCTCGCGTTCCTCCAAAGAATTTCAGTCGTGGCTCTCTGGTCTTTGTGTCAATATCATTCATCGTTTTGATGATCATTTCTTCAGCATGGTTAATATTTTACTTCATCCAAAAGATTAGGTACACAAGTGCACGTGACAGGAACCAGGTAATAGGTTGTTTTTCTCCTATCAATTTATGAAAATATATATAAAACAGTATACTGTACAGTTGATTGCTGATGCATGGTCTGTTGGGCCATAAACATTGAACTTGTAGTCTTTAAATGTAGATTCTGGATGTTTAAATACTCAGCGCTCAGAGCGTAAGATGCTACGTGATAGTTGTGTATAGTAAGACACATAATCTTTCTTTACTAAGGGAAGAATTTTTATTTTCATTGTGAGATTAATGCACAGAAACTGAAGAATAAAATACATGGAGTCCTCCAAAGCAAGACTCATTTCTTGAGAACAAAAATCACCCAGTTTTGGCAAAATAGAGTATAATATTTCTTGCTTCTCTTGAAAACTACTAGAGATTTTAAAAGGAAATAAAGTTTTGGATAAAATTGTATGGTATGCTGCTGGAGGAAATTGGCTGCTCATTGTTCTGGGGAGATTTTGCTAACTGAGGGTTGGATCATATATGTAATCTTTAGGGGTGCACCGATAGATTTTGGGGGCCGATACCTGTAGCCAATATTTAAGGAGGCATATCGGCTGATACCAATCTGATATCTGATACAGCTGCCATCAGCTGATAACACCCTTGTGGTGGAAGTGGGGGTAGATCAGTGTCCCCCGCAGTAAGGGAGGGGGTAGGAACAGGTGCTGCCCAGCTGGGGCAGGTGGGGGTGCAGGATGGAGGCACTGCTCGTGGGGTGGGGGCAGCTCCAGCTGCTGCTTGCACCCTGGGAGGGTGGGGGAAGAGGGGGCGTATGCCCCCGGATTGGCATGGGGCAGGCGGCAGCTGTGGAGTGGAGCTGGAGCCGGCACTGTGTGGGACTCTTCTCGCCGTGGGTTGCAACAGCACTGGGAGGAAGCTGCAGGTACCCCAGATTTTGCTGCAGCTCCTCTCCCTGCCCCATGCCACCGCCCCAGCTTTTCCTGGTGCTTGGGTGGAGGTGGGGCATTCAGCCGGGGCTGTGGCTGTTTCTGGCACAGAGCTGGGAGTGGAGCTGTGGCGAAATTTGGGGTGGATGCAGCATCCTTCCTGCGCCTCTGGAGCCTGCTCTGAGCCCAGACCCCGGTGAGAAGAGCTATGCAGCGCTGGCTCTGGCTCCAACCCGCAGCCCACCCTGCTCTGCACAGATCCAGGGACACATGCTCCTCCTCTCCCCTGCCCTCCTGCAAGCAGCAGTGGAAGCCT